GCAGCGGCCCCGTTGCTGCGTTGGTGCTGTTGCTGGAGTTGCAGTTCCATGGCGGCCGCGGCGACGGTCGACAGGGCCTGCGACGTCGGCGGCAGTGGTGACGACCTGCCACCTCCGCCGTTGCCTGGATGATGGTGCTGGTGGTGGTGGCCGCGCAGTGCGGCAGCCATGGCAGCCGCGGCCTGCAACTGCTGCTGGTGATGGTGATGATGGTGGTGGCCGGGGTGCAGCAAATGGTGACTGCCCAGACCGATGTTACCCATTCCCAGCGGGCCGCCGCCGCCCAAGCCCATGCCGCCCGTCATCATGAACGGTGGGTTGGCCGGCAGCGGACTCAGCGCGGCCGCAGACGGGCTGTGGCGGCCGGCAGACATGGAATTCGGCACGCCCAAGTACGGATTGCCGCCGCCGCCGCTGTACGGGTGAGCCTGTGGTCCGACTTTCTCCTGTTTGCGCCATTTCGCCCGTCGGTTTTGGAACCACACCTGCAACAGAACGTGGAAAATATTTTAGAAAACCGTGGAAATATAATGTGGTATTAAACCACTTATAGTCTTAGAAAAAAAACATTTTTTTTTTCAAAATAATATCGGACTGATATAACCCTGCAAAACTCATACAAGCAGTTATATGTATTTATTGAATGCCCTTCGGAGAAATATTATACTTATATACATAACGGGCACATTGTGACACTGAGCAATATGAAAAGAATTAGTATTATACAGTGAAGAAGCCAAAAATTTGTTTTCATCGATGGCTAACATTGGTAGTTACAATAATTTATAAGTTTTGACAAAATTAAATACAAGTATTTAAATGATTACTGGTGCTATTGTAAAAACCAAAACTATCATTAAAAATATACTATTGTCGACTATAATTTAGACAATGTATACTTAGCCATGATTAACTCTGTTCTATATTCTTTGTATGAATTTTGATATCTACTATTAAAAATAAACAAATTATATTGTCTAAAGTTTAGAAAATTATTTCTTCTTACAACGTTTACTACATTTATGTAGATTTGATAATACTAATGAATAATTTAATAATTAAATTAAAATACAAATTTTTGAAGGGACTAATTTTAATACTAAAGGTGTAAACCCTCCAAACCCCCTCCCAAATTGTGTGTAAGTATACTGCACAGCAAGAAAAGACGCAAGTAAGATTACTTTATGTTTAAATTGACGGCACAATCAAGTGGGCGGTAAAAATAGAATCCTATATACAAAAAGGGGTTGACTATATGAGGAAGAATAGTATTTAATTAATTAATTTTTTTAAATGATGAGTAATATAAAGGTGCTTATAGCACAATATGTGTCTAGCTCTACTTTTCATTTCTAGACCTCCAAGTACGCATTTATACAAAGTGATTCACAAATCATGTTCATTCAAAATTTTTCTGAATCTTCGGAATTGAAAATTTATCTCAAGAAGATATATTTCAAATTTATAAGTATATCTAAATATCTTATACAGTAATATGCAATTTATAAATAATACAATTTTATTTTTAATAAAAACCATACATAAATGATAAGCTCTTCTATATTGTGAATTGTGAGAAAATATTATTTTTTTTTTAACCTACCTATGTATTTTAAAATTCGAATGAGAGTATTTCTAATTATTTAATTTTTAAGTAGCTGGGATAATAATAGGGCTATGGTAATTTTAAAAGTATAGTAATTAATATTAACTTTTTAAAATTGTATAGTTTGTGAAAATTGAAATGGTGAAATATTAGTATTAGTAAATTTATAAATATTAGTAAAGAAAAATGAATGCGTAACGCGTTACACGATTATTCGCCTCTATACATATTATTATGCAGTAGCAGAGGCGTATTTAAAGGAGGGGCATAAACCGTGGTAAAGACACTTGATCCCTTCATTTTTTAGGTATGTATCATGTTACTATAATTAAACAACGCGTATTATTTATTGATCTACGATTTATTCTATTATCAGTTATCACTATACAAGAATTATTTATTTTGTGATGAACTTTTTCTTAGTTGTAGGTATATTGTATAATATGTATATTTTATATTTGAAGATTATGAGTATAATTTATTTATGTTTTATTATTGTCTCCTTCCAACCTCCATTAAGTATTTCTAATTTCACCTCTACGGACTTGCACAACACCAATATAATAAAACACATACATATTGTATATTTTCTACCTATATAGTATATAGAGTATAAAAGAATCTAAAACTAACTGGCTAGTATCAATGGCTACTATTCATCTTTTACCCACGCGAAACATGAAGGTGAATCGAATTTTGAATCGTTAGCTTTAATACCGTAATGAATATTGAATTTAAAGGTAAGAATATTGATATTTCAATTTTAAGCACTGTAATATTTTACATAGTTGCATAATTTTTAAATTAGAATATCAATAAAAGCCTAAATGATAATGAAATTAGCTAGGCGATAACATTCTGACAATAAAATTATGTATAGGTAAGAAGTCGATTAATTGTTGTATATCAAATTCAGAAACACTAAATTGGATCTATTTGAACGCAAATTTGCAGTCATATTGCAACGCATGAGTCAGAGAGAAAAAACAATAATAATGCGCTGAAATTCCGTATAGTCTATATATGCATACATACCTTAATATAATAAAACACATTATTGTCGTCACCGCGCTGTTAATTAAAACGACGCGTGGAAATCTCACGCTTATTAACAACGCGCGTAGGTACCTCATATAATAATTAAAATATTAAATATATATAATATGTCCTAGGCGTATAGGTTAGGTAGGTATATAATAATGCGTAACACAGAAAATCGTCGCATCATCGCCTGTTATATAACAGTGGTGGTACATAGCAGCAGCACGGCAATACACCACATCTAATCTAATCTAATCTAATATAGGTACACGTAAGGTTAGACGATGTATATACATATATAATATGTGTGTGTGTGTGTGATACAAATTTTGTATTGTCCCGGTGGAAAAAAAATGTGCGCGTACACCACTCATGCACACAGGAGCGCTGTCGACAACACACATACACATACATGTAATAATACATATATATATATACACATACATGATATTGATATCATCGTTACGCCGGGTTAACCGCGGCGATATTTAATAACAATAATAATATAATAAATAACATTAATACAAAATATCGACCGGCCGGCGCGGTGTGAGAATGTAGAAAAAAAAAATTAAAAAAAATGGATAAAAACGCCCAGTCATCGGTAACCAATTTAAACGAGGCCTCTCCAGCGCGGTGCAGTAGGTATATAATATAATAATAATAACATTATAATAACGTAATACATATTATAAATCGTATTAACGTATCGCAATGACGACGACGACGACGACGACGACTACGATACGACGATAATACATTATGATTTGCGCGTGCGTGTGTTAAAAACCGTGGAAAGATTTATAATAATATAATACATACACGATACACACACACACACACACTCGCGATATGTGTCGAGTACTATATTACATTATAACAATATAACACGGTATATTAAAAAATATAAAAAAATTTAATGTGGTGTGTTAAAAAAAAAAAAAAAAATAATAATAATAATAATAATACGAGGTGTACGATATTTATAATATGACGTATAGGCGGTACGCATTATTATTATTTATTATAATATAATATCGTGATGTGTCGTCAATGGACAATGGACTGCGGCGGCCATATTATATTATATTATTATATTGTAAGACTCACGTGTGTGAGATGAATTCGCGAACGAGTACCGTTTAACGCGCATTATACATACACGTACGCGATAATAAAATGCCAACACAATATTATAATATCTACGGTTGTTTAGGCGCGACGATGCGATTTTTGTGCTGCAAACCTCGCTAGTACCTACCCATACACACGATGATGATGATAATAATAATAATAATATATTGGCCGAATAATAGAGCATAATGTTACGACGATAATGTGTATACACTATACCTACGTATAACACGTGTGAAAATTTTCACACACGCACACACATTACTATACGCGCGCGTCATATAAATATTCCGTCCGTATAATTAAATAGATGACCGCGATGTTTTATTGATGTACGATTTTTATGCCAAATCGAGAAAAAGAGAGAGGGAGAGAGAGATAGTCCGCTAAAGAGACTCGGCGGCGGGTATCATTATGTTATTATAGTGATATTTGCACGTGTCACGACGTTGTTAAATTTAGATGATAAACAAATTGTACACGTTCAGCAATAGTTCTGTAAACGTTTTCCCGCAGGAACGCTGGATCGTCGTAATCGGACGACGTATCGTATCATCAGAATCGGTCGAAGGGTTTATAAGGATATACTATTATGATATCGCGGTGGATGTGTTTGTAATTGTATAGGTAGGTACATTATTTAGATATTGCAAATAAATATTAATTTTCAAACAGGCAACAACCATTAAACGGCTAAAATCAAATTACCAAAACCAACACGAATACGCATAATATATCGTATTTGACATAAATGGGGGTTATTCAAATAGTCTCCTCAAATCACTTTCTTAAATCAATTCCTCATTTAATATGTGGTTTTTTTTCGATTTAGACAATAATATTACACAATACAAATTACAATTATAGGTAATTATTGAAATATAAAATATTAATTTAAAATTATAAATATATTATATTTTTTATATGGTGGATTATTCTAATAAGTGATGCGAAACTCTACTCTGTGATTTACGAAATACAATACGAGTAAATAATAATAGTGTTGTGAGTTATTATTTTTACCATACTCACAATAAATTGTGGTATTGTGCATATAAGCATACTATATTGCAGTCGGAACTTTGTAAGTAGCCTATTTATTTCATGACTTGGATAAACTGTGATTACAAAATAAAGAAACCTAAGAAGACGAATTAAATTAATTTAGAATAATTGGATTCATTTCTGTTTAAATTTTTGAGTCTCTTCTCTAGATTTTTGTGGAAATTTTTTTAATATTTCGATTATAATCATCTTGAAAATTAATTATTCTATTTCAGATTTTTAAATTTATTAAATTTAGAGTAATTGGATTTCATTTTATACGTAATTATTATTTTTTTAAATAAAATAGTTATTCATTAATCGACTTTCACAAAATAACCTAGAAAATATATGCCAACGAGTTTAAATATCTTTCAGAATTAAAATCCGATCGTTTTAGTAATTTTGTCAATCATGTTTTCAAATTTTAATTCAGTGATCATTAGATCAAAATATTTAATTAAATGCAATGACATATTGTACCTACATTATGTATATGCTAGTGATGTCGTTGACACGCATGGAGAAACTATCGAGACAGTTACACGTGATGATTTCCTATCGAAGTATCAAATATTCTATGTGAAATAGGTAGATACATATATTATATGTCTATACTATACATATATATATGTATGTGTAGAATGTAGACGATAAATGGAAATAATAAATATAATTTGTATTTCCAATCACAAAATACTTGGTGTAATCGAAACAATCAAGACTTCAGAAAATAGAATTTACGCAATTTGAAAGGCCTGTAAATATAATACAAATGGATATAATAATATTATAGTACCTACCTACTGCCTATACCTACCAGTAAAAGATATGGCTTACTCATTACGCTCGATCACGATTAGTATATTATTGTAGGCGCACTATATACTGCACTGTCGATTCTCACTTGCATAGTTGCATCGTATACACCATATTATACGGTAATTTCTAATTATATGAAACCATCAGCTATATTATAATATATACGATGTACATAGTAGGTACAGACACACAATACACTACACGAACATTATTATGTATTATGAAGTTGCAAATATAATACAATATTATAGGTAGAAAAATAAAGACGTATTTCGAGTGCGCGCATAATGTACAACGTTCGTATTTATACAAAACCCAACCGAGAGTACAACGCGATCAATTTTGATTCACGAGCATGTCGCCTAAAACATAATAGATTGGAAAGCGCACACGGACGTCACTCTAAATATTATAAGCATCGTGAACATTTTTAAGAATTCTCGGAAGTTTTCGGTTAATAATAATACGCCTTGTTCTGCAGGTGACTCGTTAAATTATGTACGTATATATTATTATTTTACATGCGAAAACGGCTTCTCTCCCGCGAATGAATCGTCATGTTCTATGAATGGCCATTGTGCGAAAATCGATTTCCCATCGACAGTATAAAATAATAATATATAACATAATATAATATGCTATTATAATATTTGATGATATTTTTATAATTGCATCGGAATCAATGGTAATAAATTAATAGGCAATACACTCGCCGGTACAGTATTATACATAGCGATAGACGTGCTGCACTATAATATGTTGTCAGTTGAAAAGACACTTATTGAGATTTCTTATGAAAAATATGTTTTAAGCGTGTTCGTCTAATTTCATAAGCAATAAGTTTACGGCTGTCGATAATATACTGTTCAGTAGGCAGTAATTTAAAAAAAAAAAAACGAATTCTTCAAAATACTATTTAAATGCTATAAGATTACATAATATTATTGTACACATAATTTATTATTATTAGAGGTTTTACGACGTTGCTCAAAATGTTATTTACAAGCGGAATATTGATATTATTTTCTTCGGCATGAATCTATATTGTAATAACATGATTGAAAATCAAAATGGGAAACCTCGATTTAAAATCTAAAATATATTATACAAACATTGTGAAATCGTTTGCGTAAAACTTGGGATGGCGTCAAATTGTAGCGATAGTGAATTGTAAATAGATATAACTAGATAGGTACCTACTTAAGAATGTAATACGTTATAAGTATTCACATTGATTTACACGTTTGCGGTATGAATATATTTTTAATTTATTTTTAAAATTAGTTTATATTGTATTTTACACTTGTATAGTAGTTATTTCGGAAATGAGTAAATCGAATTATAAATATAGTATACCAATATATTACAAACATGGTTCATTTTTTTTGTTTTGATTACATAATATATATCAAGGTCTATAATTCATAAATTATTTATGACCTCTTGAAAGTGCCATTATAAATACATTCTTTATGTCATGGAACGATGAAAGGTGGGGAGAATCAGCTAGTGGGGAAAAATTCAATTTATGAACAAAATATAGATATATTTTGAAGTATATAAAGTATAAAACTCCGAAATTTTTTTTAAAAATAAGCTAAAAATTAAAACACGTAAAAAACTAACACATAACATGTTCTTACCTTAACTTATAGTTTGTTGAATGTTTAATTTGGTCGATGTGCTCTTATTTTAAAGCTATAACAATACAACATTGATTCATGCTGAACCCTGAACACTAACTTGCTATATAATCATTATACGAGCGATGACGTCGTCGATGTTACCATTTTGAATTTATTTTAATATACTTCCGTCAATTTTATATTTCATGACTAGTTCATTGTCACGTATAATGTAGATTTTTCCGAGACGGGAGGATATCTTTTTAAAATTTTTTTTAATGGTTATGAGTTATAACTATTGATACATAATAATATGTATCTAGTATAAATCTATATAAATTATCATTAGATATGAAAAAGGTTATACTATATAATTAATTATTCATTCGAATTCCGTGTAATTCTTTTAGTATAATATCATTAGATAAGTAATGAACATGTGGTGATCAATTAATATTATGATTTATAATGGAAGTGATTGTATGTTGCTACAGTAGTTTTATAAAATGGGTAATTCTAACAATTTTAATTTCTAAAATAATATAATTGTATCATTTTTAGTAAATCTATTGAGTAGGTATATCGTCGTAATATATGACGTGTATTATCGCTATGTCTCAGTATTATCGCAAATGCGCCTTATTGGTTTTTATTTAATTAATAAACTACTTTTCTATGATTTCAAATTAAAATAATCATTAAAAAAACTAACAAGTTCTACAAAACGTTTCTTCGTGTCAAACTACAATCAATTACCAATTTCCTTAATTCCCAAAGATCAAAAAACTTCCGGCGGAGTCGGGACTATGTGTCTCAAACTTTATTAAAATAACTTTAACCATGTAAAAATGACTCAATAAGGTATCACAGTTTTATATTAAAAGTATTAAGTTATGATTATTTAATAAATATGTTTTCTAAAAAAAAGATGTTGTCGTACACTGTATTCAGAGGCAAGGATGTATACGGATGTATACGGATGTACATTGTACAAGAAATTTTAACTTTTCATATAATTATCACGAGGTATTTGCATACTCGCATGGATATTAGACGGTGTTGACGTGTTGAACAACTATTAAAATTAAATCTTTTATAGAGAAAAGACATTTTAAACCATATTTCTCTTTATTTTGTTAAAACGAAATGTAATGATGCGTTATGCGTATACCGGCTACTTCTAAAGAATACACGAACCTCGTGTATTAAAAATTAACCATAGTAAATAAACCATTTTTCATTTTGGTAAGGCGCTATGGAATAAACTTTAAATCAAACCCTCCGTTAATGAGCTTAGGATCAACTTCTGACACACACTCACATATGCAACACAACTACACATACACTGAATATTCTAGTGTGTACATATTGTTAATAATAATATGTAAATAACGACGTCGGTCGCTCGTTATCTCGTTATTATTAAATATCCAGCGGCGGCTCGTTAGTGTTATATAAATGTTTTAATATCATTGACGACTGTACGATGAAATAATAATAATAATATTATATAGGATAATCCGTTTAATATACGACAACGTACGAACGCGCGCAGAGAATACAAAACATTATAATAATAATAATAATATGTACCATACTAAATGTAATATAGTCGCGACGGGACGCCGGTGATGTTGCCCCGCAGCCGCCGCCGGCTTTTCAATAATATATTATTATATTATATAAATAATAATAAATGCCAGTGCGCGGCCAATACATGCACATAATATTAACATAATACTGTACTATACAGAGTGGATTTTTCGTTTTGCCGTGGTATACGACATTTTGCTTTTAACTTTTAACAGTGTGAAAATATCTACGAAAAACTGTAAAGCAGTATATAAAAAAAATATCATGTATATAATGTGTATGTACATTACCAAGCCCTCGAGAGTAAATCGGTAAAAATCAGATCGTATATAGGTAACCGATCATGAGGTGCCGAGGGATGTGATGCATTTCTCGGATCACGATGTATGAAAAAAAATCACTCTGTACCTATAATATAAATCATACGTCGGCTGCCGTCGAGTTGCGCATCAACCACGCGCGCCGTGGTTAATTTAAATTAATATTAAAAACAAATAAACGACGACGAAATAATAAAATATACAAATAAATTACCGTCGACGGCGATGATAATATTAATAATAATAATAATAATAATATTATAATTGGAAACGTTAAAAAAACAAACGGCCCACGGCGATCTGGCGCTATGTATACCTAACCTATATATTAAATGTCGTTTCTATATCATATTATGTTTTTTTATTACAATACAATATTATGATGATAATATGTACGCATGTAATACAATTATGTTACGTGTAGACGGTACGAGTCTTGAGATACCACTGAAAACCCAGAAAAACATTTATTAACGATAGACTAAACGCTCATACGACTTCAACTCTAAAAATAAAAAAAAACACTCAAAAACTATTTTCAAATTATTGACACGTGACGATGACAGAATCAGATAGAATTGTTAAAATATATTTTTTGATAAAAAATATTTTACTTAAAAGAACCAATGTGAATGTAAAAACGTTTGTCTTATCAAAAGAAAAAATTTGAATTTATAAAAAAATCAATGTGTAATGAAATTGTTTTAAAGAATATATAATCTTTGCAGCATAAATACCATATTATTACTTTATAAGACAATTCACATCATTGTAAGTGCATTAATTCGCGTTTATTAGGTAATTTTTATCTACTGTAGATTTTTTTTTTTAATAGTTTTTTATTAGTGTAACTATACAAGAGATAGGGTGAGCGTAAGAGTTTCTAAACCTTATTTAAAAGTAGTAAAAGAAATTAAAAAATAGTCTATATAATCTTACAAGTAATAAAATGTTTCATCATTATTCAATCACGCTGAATACACAATTTAGTATTTATATTTATAAATGCTGATAGTCTATCTAACATTTAAATCCTTTATGGATATTTCCATGTTACTATCACATAATAATATTATTTATTAAATCTGAATAATACATATTTAAATATATTATTATTTACTATACTTAAATACTAAAATGTAATATACAATATAAGTTACCTGTATTCTGGCTTCAGTTAATCCTATTTTCGACGCCAGCTCCTCTCTACAACAGACACACAAGCTCATTAAAAAATGAATGATACATTTAACTGTCAATATGTACATGGACATGCGTGGGTGTATTTTACTCAGATCTGTGCCGACTTTTCAAACCTCCATACGTATGTCAATATTATTGATTCTTTATTATATTAATAGCAAGATTTAGTTTAATTTTAGTCTACATTTTAGCTGAGATAAATAAAATCATTGCAGGGCAACACAAAACAAACCCAAATAAGTTTTTTCAAAAACAGGCTAGGAATTTTAGAGAGAAAAAAATCTTTTGAAATTTATGACAGAAAATAAATTTAAATTAAATATTCAAGTAAATACGATTTCCAGCAAAATAAATTCAGCAGTGAAAAATATTTAAATATAAATAAACATATACATATATGTTATATAGTATGACGGAAATAATATGATAAATAGTTTCCAATTCGTCGAAAAGCACATTACATAAGCGAACATGGAATAATATATTACATGCACCTTTACTTATGGATCTCTATCTCTATATAACGTATAATTATTAATAATTATTGCTGATTGTTAGATTTATACGTTTATACACCGACAAACAAACTTAAAAATATATTATGAGTATTCAGTTAGGTATACACATCGAAGGACGTAAGAGATAAAGAGGTACCTACATAATATTATACATGATTTGAAATGCATAAATAGGTAGTATAATCGAATATCTACGCCCATATATCTTAATCTAAAAATCCTGATTACTCTGCATTCTACTTACTGATATAGCGCGCTATTTGGAATTTGCAAGTTTATATTACAATAATTATTTAATACATCGTTAGTATAATAATAATTAGAGTTTAAATGTTAATGATATGTTTTTTTTTTTTTTTTATATAGTAATCCGATTTAATGATAACCTAAATTCAATATTATACAAATTCCATTCATGCTCTACTGAACCAAATGTTTATGATTTTTTTTTCACATATCAATACATATTTTCTGGATTTGTAATTTTTTTGCGTTATTTTTGAAATTAATACAAACGAAATGTTGAGCTTTAAATAGGTTACGCGTATTGCGGGGACCCATACATAATTTTATAGGTACTGCGTTTATTTTGTCTGTCGCAGCTGGTACATAATACGAATTAAAAAACCTATGCGTTTGAAACTGTAAACATATTATACGATATCTACTTATAAATTATAGTACCTAAATATTTCGCCGTATTCACCCAATCAGAATTTGAAGCCCATAGACGCGCGTCTTAAAACATATATTATGTCAATAGGACACTTTTTATTTATAAAACTGATCGAAGCGACGGGGATATAGCTATAATGTGTATGTACTGCACGTGCAGACATATAACGAGAGCTTCGAGACTTAAGGCACATTTACGTTTAGTATTGCGAACTCACCTGGTGAACACGTCCGGGTAGTGAGTCCGGCCGAACGCCTTCTCCAGCTCGTCCAGCTGGTAGCTGGTGAACGTGGTCCGGTACCGGCGCTGTTTCCTCTTATTGGTGCCGCCCGCGGACGGCGGGCCGCCGTAGCAGTCGTCATCGTTGTCCGCCGAAGCGTCGTGGCCGCCACCGGTACCGCTCATGTCCACGATTCCGTCCCTGCCATCGCCGTCGCCGTGGTCGTGGTCGTCACATCCGCCGTTTTCCAGGTCGTCGTCCGCGCCGTTATCGTCGTCCACAGCGCCGCCGCCGCCGCCGTAATAACCGGGCGGGGGCGACGAATAATAATCGTAACCGACCGTGCCGGATCCGGGACCGCGGCCACCGGCTGCCGTGGCCATTAAAGACCTACAGTGTTGCTGTTGTTGCATTTGGTGGTGTTGCTGCTGCTGCTGCTGTTGCTGTTGCTGTTGTTGTTGTTGCTGTTGCTGTTGCTGTTGTTGGAGCTGCTTGTGCTGTTGTTGTTGTTGAACAGCCATCGCCGCCGCCACGACGGCGGACCTCTCTCGCATCATGGTCGCGGCTGCAGCCATGGCCACCGCGGTGGCCGCGGCCGTGCGTCGCTGATCGTCGAATGGCAACCCCGCTTGCGTCAGCGCACACTCTCCCGACTGCGGCTGATCGTCTTTCTGAAGTCCGCGGCTTTCGTCGGCCGTCGCTACTGCGGCCACTGCCGATACTTCCGACGCCGTTACTGCCACCGCCGCTGCTGTCGAAACATAATGCACACACGAAATCAGTATACGGAAGTGGCAAAGTTTATATTTATCGTATAATACATGCTCGCGACGAAACCTAAAATTATTAGTGTGTGGTGAAACGGAGTTGGAAAAAAATGTCTACTTAGACATATACCTACTATAGGTCGACACGAATTTGTTTCAGTTATATATTTATATTACGTATTGTGTGAAGTACTGAAGTGATAACAACTTTGTGATGAAGCGTGAAATTTGAATAACTCATTATGTATGAACAGACACACAGATACATTCGCGATGAATGAATCGTCGTTTTTATATATTTTACAATATCAATTACATTTTGTACAGGTAACAGCGCTTCGGTGTTGTTGATATCACTTTTAAATAAATTAATTTTGCTGCACTAAAGCTGCAGAATGGATAGATTTATAATAGTTTGTGCAAACGAAGCTGCGTACTTATAAACATTTTACTTCTATAACTCGACCGATTAAAATAAAGTTTTTTTTCATGCCCGAGTTTCAAACACAATCAATTCGATTATTATTTCCACGATGGTTCATTCGGATAATTAGAATTTATTATTCTTGAAAGTCGTATAAAAAGTGAAATTGATATTTTTAGACCCATGCCACGGACTTATAAATAATAAAAGCAATTTAGAGGGGCTTACAAAAAATGACTTCTAAATATCGTTATAATATATTCAAATATAGCTATGTGTACAAATGGTTTACTGAGTTATTGTATAATCGGCGGTTGAGATTCAAAAATGAAGTAGACATTTGCATACTCGTATATTTGTATTTAGTATATTAGACCAATCAGTAATGGAAACAAATCCTAATTAAGATTTTTTAATTTAGGTCTATCCAAATTCCAAGAAAGTATACACAGTATTCACAGGGATCATTATATACAAGAGGTATTTTGAGCCAGATAGAAATAAGGAGAGGCTGACAAAGATATAACGTATTGTACCTACATAATATATTAAACATACACATTATTCGACACAAAGAGGGGACGTTTATTTGAAATCGATGTATAAAATGAAAAGACTATAATCGATGCATGTTTAGATACAAACATCGGTATTGGGTTTGCTGAAGAGGTTTAGATTTCGTAAATAAGTGATCAGCTTGAGAATCACTAGGCTTATAGATAATTTATAGAAGTCGCGTACATACAAATACACGTACGAGTATATTGTTTATATTATAATAAAGAGGGCAAGAATTCAAATGTGTATAACAAGAAATAATATTATGATAATACGAGGTATGAGTACAATAATGGACAGACGTCAAATTATGAATATAATATTATTATCGCGTGTACCTTCATATAAATTGATAACGCCGGGATGTCTGTTAATTATAATAAATATATTATGATGATATATGATACACGACGAGGTAAAAATATTTATGTATTGAAATCGTGAAGGTAAATCGTCGGTGCAGTGGAGCGGTGTTATAATTAATATAATAATATTGCGCGTGCATATTATAGGACAAGTGCAGTGTTATATGCAGCGCATGTATACATTATACTTCAGCAGTGTTATTATTATATTATTAATTTACCTATACGCATTCATAACTGCAGTTCCTATATACGTAGGTGTATATCTATATATCCTATACATCGCGCGGGTAATTGATATAACAATCTAATCGACATACCTATACGAATCATAATATACTATTATATTGTTATATATATAAATATCAGATATATTATATGCATGTATAAAGGTTGTTCAGTGCAGCGTGTATTGTATAGTATATTATGCGCTCTCATTATAATTATTATACATAAATTTAATAACGGCGAGTTGTTGTTTATTAACATGTACAATTACACGATAAAATGCGATTATTTTTTCGATATAAATCTATTTAGTTTTTATGCACGTATGTACAAATATACCTATGTGATTTTTGTATAATAATATCTCTGCCCTATATATATATATAAAATACAGAAGATAATAGGCACCTCGTGTACCTATATATAATATGTTATCACAATAATAATATAATTTCGATCAATCAACATGCGCACTGCACGATATTATTATTTATTATCGTCGATCGACGGCGGTTTAACTACCTATTTTAATTTACATGCGTATGACGAATGCGTGTATAATATCACATATACTATGTATAACATAATGTACTGCACGAGCGCATATGTAGAGATACGAGTGATCTGCGTACGCGATCATCCGGATTGTATACTATACAAAAACACACATAATATATAACATAAATATAGATAGGTAAATACGATAAAATAATTTATTGGCCGAGAAAACATTTAAATATCTACATCACGTACTTATATATTTAATAATTTCATTATTCTTATTTTACTATTATCATTATTATTATTATTATTATTACGGTTCGGTCGCAATGGCGGCAGCCATCATTATCATATTATTATTATTATTATTTTTTTTATATTGTCCTCGTCGTCTAAACGCACACGCAAACGCAGTGCTGCAGGAGACACGCCACTACAGACCGTGTCCCCACCGCGACCGCGACCGAACATTGTAGCGGCAGACGGGTGCGTATACGACTTTCCCCCGACGACTAAAAGCCCGCCTATATTATCATCCGCAGACCTAATGATACATCATAATAATTTCTGGTTATTCATCTGTCCGTGACCATATATTACGACATCTACGCGCGCGGCACATATAGGTATATATAGACATAGCATATTATAATACGATCACATACTATTATTGTATTATGCATACAAAATATATTTACTGATAAAGACTTTTCTAGCAATTTTTTTTTTACATTTCAACTTCATCATAAACCGTCATGTGACTCGAGTCTAACCTTCGGCTAATTGAACACGCTTCGTCGTAGAATGTCTGCAATCGCTTTATTTTTCATTTTATTTAATAATTATTATTTATTAATTACATCGTACAGCGCTATTTTGTTTACTTATAGTCTATATGCGCTATCTATATTATTGTACTTATAGGTATACATCTATGTGTGTTTAAGTATACAAACACCGGTTGGTATTAACTATTTATTCTAATAAATAAAAATAAGTATAGGCTTCAATATCCTTATTGGTCAAGGTTTTCACTTCACGGCCATAATCAATTTTTCATTTTTTATTTACAATTTTCAATATTCATATCAATATATATTATTTTAAGAATTTTACTAATATTATCTGCAAGTACTAATTTAAGATGCACAATTTAAAAATATGTAAAAAAAAACTAAAGACGTATTCCATAAAACGTGTAGATCGTGTGAAGTGCAATAATATAGCTTAGGTACTTGGTAATAAATTGAAAATGCAAAAAACACGTAACAGAATTAATGCAACAATAAAGTTTGATTCCTAATTTAACTGCAGTATTATATTTGTGCGTAATACACTAATCACATATGTATACTTATTAAAATATTATGCACGCAACTATAAATTCTCCTCCCCCTTACCCACGGATCACGAATATTCAATAGTTAATCTATATAGCATAAAAGTATAATAGGTATTTTGCATGCTAACTGAGTATTACGTATATAAAATCGCTGAGAAATATGATCGTCGTAACATATATACATATATATATATATACTTCAAAAAAACGAAAGTCGCATCTGCAGTGACAATACAACCCTTAAGTATATATTAATTAGGTACCTATAACTGTATAGTTTGATAATTTAAAAAAAAAAAGTAAATATGGTAACGCGCGATTATTGATTATATTGATCATATTATAATCCCTATGATAGTTCGTTTAAAAGAAACACTAAAGACTTTGTTATTAGTTTTTAAAAGTCCTTATAGATAGGTATACGTATATATACGGTCAAGAAATCCCAACTTTCAACTTTCTCTACCGTTGTACATCATTGTTTACAGGTATTTTTATACATACGAGCTATGAAAATTACTGTACGTATATTATTATATAACAACTCTAAAACAAATAGGCGTATATGCCTAATTAGTCGCGGATACCTGTACCTTGCTGTACCGCGGGCGCGACTATTTCCATAGCGATCACTCGATCATCCGCGACGTGTGTATACACAACATAAACACCATTCAACGTGACAATACAATAATTGCATTTGTCAAAATACACGATAGACGCATTTATGGGTTAGGGCGTGATAACGGAGTGTCAGCGCCCTATATTTAAAAGCACCGAATACACGACGATGACGCGGAAACCCCGTCCCGCTGCTGACGACGACAGTTCGGCGGCGAAAGACCCACCACACGAACCGGAAGACGAAATCGCGGCGGCGCTGATCACGGCCATATTGTTGGAACACTTTGGCGACGGACTTCCGGTGCACGCGGACGTGGTCATGGACACAGTACAGTACAGACTGGCAAGGGACGAGACGATGGCTGCGCGAGCCCGACGGGACGGGTGCTACTGCGTGTGGGCGGACCACCGGGCATCGCGAGCGTACCGCCGGTGTCTGACGCGGTTGGTCCGGTCCGGTCGGATCCGCGTGGTGTACGACTGCGGCTGCGGATGCGGCACGTACCTGGAGGACGGTGGTGGCGGCTTCGACAACGGGTGCGCCGGAGGAGGGACTCAAAAGCCGACGATATCGGCTGCGATATTATAAAGCCACCGCCGTCGTCCATCCAATGTATTAATAATATATTATGTTATCGCATGGACACGTTGAATACACAGCTACACCTACACGTAGCATAATATTATATTGTACATATAATTATTATAACACTCGAAAAACAAGTGACAACGTTTGCCTTTACGAAAATTTAAAGTACCTACAATACTATACGCGTTAGAAATACGTCAAAATGTCGAATCAACTATAGTAAAAATACATGTCACAAAGGTCTTGTTGACGCACACTCCTGAACAATAGCCCCGTCTTGCCATTATAAGTATACCTACATATTGTACCTATATTATATATTATTATAAATGACCACTACCCTTGACTTAAAA